CTATACAAGATAAAGGTAGGGACAAAGAAACTAATGACCATGTTATGAAAATGTATTTGTAAGACATTTTGGAGGTGGGTAGCATGTCATTGGTTAATTAAGAAGTTTTTTTCTTAGAAGGGAATAATGAGAATAATCCTTAAAATTTGGGAATTAGCAATGAAATGGGTGTTGGAGTCAGCCATAGTGTCTAGGAAGAAAGTGATGTCATATACTAAAATAAAAGATGACCATGGAAGCAATGGAAACTTAGGGAAAGTTAGTGAATTTGAATTAAGTTATTAAAGTTGGGGTGACCATTTGGCATCTAGGTGGACATAATCAGGAAAAAGCTCATACAAAGAGTCAGAAGTCTGATCTCCAGTCTACCCTCATTCCCATCTATAATATCCTATTATCTTTCCCCCTTTTCTTCTTCAGATTCTCCTTTATCCATTCACTTTTAAATTTCCATTCATATACTAATGGTAATAATAAGTAAAATCTCCAGGAAGCTTACAGTGTGACAAGCTTACAGTGTCTGAATCTCCATATTCATTCCTGTAACAGTCATGAGAAGGTAAACCAGATGAGGGAATTTGTGTTTAGAGCACTGAGTAGTTAGGCCAAGACCTTATCTCTACTGTATGTGGAGTTCAAACTCTGTCAACTCAAACTCAAGTGATCTACTTTCTGGTGACTCTCAACTTGGTTTCATGCATTGGATAATTCTGTATCAATATCTTTTCTGAAATCTAGATTTGTATGTCAAGGTGCTTATTGGGTATTGCTACCTTTGGAGGTTACTATTGTCATCAAATACCCTTCTTGATCCAATAACTCCTCAGGCATCTGATCCTACATTCATATCCCTCTTAAATTCATATTTGAATGTATTGAGCTTTCTACAGCTAAGCAAAAGCCCATGCTTAATGGGTTTATTGAGAGCCAGGTTGATACAATGCTTTCTCAGAGAACTTGATCAATGAACAAAGGGAACCTAGTTTTATGTCCTTGCTCAGGGGTAGACTTGGCAAGATCTGGTCTGGAGCTTGGACCAGGGCCTCAAAGGAGCTAAAGTTTAAGTTCCTGGGAACTGAAGAGACTGGAGTTATCAGTCCCAAGGCTGATAAGCACTCTGTGACACATTTGAGATATCCCATGTCTCTTTAGTGCAACGCTGCTTGATTAGCTTCCTGCTGACTTTGTCCTGTTGTATGATGATTTTTGCTGACTCTGTCCCATTTTTCTCCCTGGAGAATAATATATAAAATTCTTAATAAAATTTCTTGGCATAAGATACAGCTTGTGCAAGACTTTCTTCTTCAGGGGCCTGACACTGAAGAATAACCTGCTGGTCCAGGCCAGATCTTACGGTATCTTACATAGTTCAGTCTTTGAGATCAATACACATAAACCCAAGGGCAGGGGCTGCTCATTGTTTGAAATCTTGTCCCTCCACCAAAGGGAGGTACCAACCACCAAGGTTGCACCCCTACCGCACATGCTGCCTGTATCCTATGGCTAAACATTGCAGTGATTCCAACTTAGCTACCTCCAGCTTCACAACTCCTCTCATAGATTGATTGGCTTAACCTCCTGTTAGAAAGTGTGTTGCTCAGCAACTTCTCCCTTTGTCTAATCCTGTTCCCTTACACTCTGACAAGTGTTTTCTTATACCCATAAATCAGATGCAAATCCTTTCCATAAATATACGTTCAAATCTTTACCTCACAGTCTGCTTTGCGAGAGGCCTGTTTTAAAAGCATTAACACCAGAGTGGTCCTAGGAAGCAGTTCTGGCAGGTGGAGTGTGTCATCCCTTGGCTGCCTGGCAGTTACAGGTGCTAGGTGAGATTTTGATGGCCTGTGGGTGTACTGTCACATGGCACAAGTTTCATCTCCCATCAATAGCACAGGGACTGTACTAGCAGTTGGGGGGTTGTAGAAGCATAGATGGTATGGAGATCTTGGGCTCAGATGGCTTTGGCTGTGTGCTGTTAAGGCCTTTGAGAAAAATAACGAGGGAGTGAGGTCAATTAACCTAGCATTTAGGACAAGCTGCGAGACCCAAAGAGCTTGTGGGTAGAGAAACTCAGGACTAAACCTAGATCACATTTTTAAGTGTAGCAGTTTCATAGAAGATGGATTGGCAAATCCTGACAAATCTGTTTCACTAAGACCTGGCTTTAGCTGGGAAAGCAGGAAGTTTTGTTGCTGGGAGTACTTCATCTAGGTTGATGCATTTGAAAAGAAACGTTTTTTGAGGCAGTATCCCACACTAGCGCAGGTTATCTTGGAACTTACAAACTTGCCTTTTCAATGTGCACTGGCTCATAGGCATTATGCTGTAATACTTGAAAAATCTTGAGCCCCAGATATCCTCTGAGCCACAGAAGGTTCTGCTCCTTCTTGCTGAAAGCTACTACTTCCCCTTGGATTACAATCTTCTGATATAATGTAGACCCTCTCTCCTTTTGTTTTCTCCACCTACCTCTGATTTTCACTTTCCTCCTGACCACCAGAGCAACAGCAAAGACCATGTAGTTACAGTACAACAAGTAGGGGAGAAAATGGACTGCATGTCTCACACCTGCAGGACCCGGACAGCCTGTGTTAGTAGAGTAAAAAAGGCAGAGGGAGTTAAAACAGAAATCTGGATGAAAGAGAATTTATTAATATGGAAACACTTTCCATTGGTACAGGGCTTACTACCTTGTAAAGAGCATGGTAAAACATGCAAAGGTGCAGCTAGAACAGGTCTTAGAAGTTTAGGAAAAGCTACAGGTTATATTGAATAGTAAAAAGTCCAAAATCATGGCTCATTATGAAAAACGATTGACTCAGAAAGTTCACAGAAATACTTGTACTGGAAGAGACATATTGTGTAAAGCAGAGTGCTTACCTCCTAACCATGTTCCACAGGGATCCATTTACCAGCTGATAGATAAGTCACTGATGGGAGAGGGAAGGACATCCAAGAGGAAGTAAGTGGTGACTGTCCTCTGTAGACCAGGAACAGCAGGAAGATGCTATGAAAGAACTGAGAACCCTGATAGAAATAAAGAAGATGCCAGAGCAATGAGTACCCAGTAGTAGTTTATTACCATTGGATGGTATATGGTCACAATTATAAGTGGTCTGGTGGTTTGGATGAGAAATGCTCCCCATAAGCTTATGAACTGGAATGCTTGGTCATAAACTGACTGTACTGTTTGGGATGATTATAGAACCTTTAGGAGGTAAAACCCTGCTGGAGGAAGTAAACTACTGGGGTCAGGCTTTGAGGTTTTTTGTTTGTTTGTTTGTTTGTTTGTTTTGATTTTTCGAGACAGGGTTTCTCTGTGTAGCTTTGGTGCCTATCCTGGCAATGGCTCTGGAGACCAGACTGGCCTCGAACTCACAGAGATCCGCCTGCCTCTGCCTCCCGAGTGCTGGGATTAAAGTTGTGTGCCACCAATGCCCGGCAGGCTTTGAGGTTTTATAACCCAGATTCATGTAGTATTCCCCCTCTCTCTCTGCTTCCTGTATGCAGACCTCTGCTTCCTATATACAGAGCTCTGCTTCCTATATGCAGACCTCCACTTCCTGTGTGCAGACCTCTGTTTCCTAAATGAAGACATCTGCTTACTATATATAGACTTCTGCTTCCTGTATGCAGACCTCTGCTTCCTATATGAAGATCTCTGCTTCCTGTATGCAGACCTTTATTTCCTATATGCAGATCTCTGCTTCTGTATACCCTTCTCTGCTTCCTGTACACAGATATTTATCCTGTAAGCAGATCTCTGCTTCTTGACTGTGGCTTGCCTCCCATTCCTGCTGCCATGCCTTTTCTGACATGATGGAAGTTATCTTCTTTGAAACTGTAAACTAAATAAATACTTGTCTCCTCTAAGTTGCTTTTGGTCATGGTTATTATCATGACTAATTCAGTGACCAATCTGAGTTATAGCCAGAAAGGTTTGGCCCAAACTGGTCCATGGAGATGAATAAGGGGGAACCTTTAGGCAACCATGCAAGATATGCCTGACCAGTCCATTAAAATCAGTTAAAGACAGAAAAATCAGAATTTTGAGAGTTTTACCTTGAGGTGAAAATCTCAGGAAACTGAGTCAGTAAAGTTTTAGATTTTGCTGCTTGATAGCTAAGTTAGGTATCCAAGGAAAAGGAACTCATAACTTCATGTTTAGTGTTTGTTAGGTATAGGCACTTGGTTCTTCCTCAAGGAACCTATAACTAGTGATTTTACCTAGGGTAAGAGAGAACATGCAATTATTTGGACTAGTGTTCAAAAAGTCTATATTGACAATGATATCTGGGGTCATGCAGTGGGCATCTATGAGAGCCAGTTAATAATTGGAGATCTGAACCACTCCATTTCACAGTGGGTTCAAGTTCATGGAGTCAGTAGGTGGCCCTTTACTAGTCATCAAATATAAAATCAGAGTGAGTCTATATGGTACTTGGTAGACTGATATGCTTTCTCATTGGCCATTGAACCATCAATTCCTTCTTCCAACTGAATGAGACTGCTCTCAATCTTTTAGAGAAACCTGATGGATCCACTGGGGTACTCACTGAATTGTTCCCTTCATCACCAATATAGTTTCTAGAACAAGTGGGTAGATCATTGCAGATGGTAGTGCTCTGCCCAAAACAATGAAGCAATGGAACTATTTACAACTGCCGTGCTACTCTAACACTGTTAGAGCTTCATAGCCCCATTTTCATTGATCTTGAAACTCAGATCTTCTTCCTCCATCCTTTTCAGGAAGATGTACCAGTATCAGAGTGTGTTCATTTGGAATGAACGTAGTGCCGCATGTTCTTGCCTTGAACTGTTTTATCTTTCCTGCCCTTTGTCATAATATAGTCCCAAAGAGCATGGATGCTTGTTTAGATTATTTTTTCCTTTTTGTGTATTAGGGAAGTGAAACTAGGATTTCATAGAAGATAGGCAGTACTCTATCCTCAAGGTAACCCTCTAACCTCTCTCTCTTTCTTGTTTTTCTTCTGAAGAACATGATTGTGATGACACAGGTTGAATAAACTGGATAAGGAAGAAATGAGAAGTACTTTGGAAGCCTTGATAAAATATACATACTTCAAAAAATGGAAGATAAATGTCATGATCATTCATGGCTGTGACATGTAGTTTTAAGGGAGATAGTTATTTTGGGCATGTCCGGATACTCTTGCTGAAGAAGAGAATATTTCATTTTACATTTTCCACTTTTAAGGCCTCTGTGGTTTCTGAGGACAGCATATTTCATAGTTGGCACAGGCTGTAACCCATGCCCCAAGCAACAGAGAAGATGACTAACTTTAATTAAAACTCAGAATAAGAAAAGGTTCTGCAGTATGTCTGGAGCATATGGTCTTGAAGAAGTAATGTTATGTATGTATGATGTGACAAGATGTTTGAAGGTTTTGGAAAACCCAAGTAGGCAAATTACATCATGAACTCTTAAGATTCTCAAGCAAGACAGTGTCATCTATAGAGATCTATAGAGGAGAGCTAGAGTCTAACGTATTATTGGTTAAGTATTCTGACTGTGTTACTGGGACTTGACAGAGAAAAACATGCCACTATCAATCGACTATGCATCAAAAACTTATTCATGTGAGCCATCTGATACATCAAGTTGGGCTGAACCAATTGCAATTCATCATGAACTGGAAGGGCTGTGTGTAGGCTTGTGGATGAACAGAGCAGGAAAGCACACATGGATGGCAATTGCCACAGACATCTACGATAGCTACCATGTCACATGGCCCTTCTCCCTCAGCTCATTCTCAGGGCCACATAAGGAACCTTCTTATCAGATAACAAAAGAGAATGAGGAGAAAACTGTTCATACATAGGTTGTCTCTATACATGGCTGTAAGCTGGGAAAGCACTGCTATGACTCTCTAGTCCCATAAACTACAAATGAATAGTGTCAGGAGACCACAGCTGTTTCTTCTTTTTGCAAAATAAAAAAGGAATCATTGGAGATAAGGATAAAAAGGAAATACAGGAAGTTTCCTACAGTTCAGATGGGGTTTAAATATCTTTGTAGCTCATGATAATGCCCACTAGAGATTGTTCATCAAGGAAGAGGCATTAGATAGCTAAGTAGACAAAATGACTCAGCCAGCTGATGTCGCGCAGCTTCTGTCATCGATTACCACAGTGTTGGCATAATGGTTACATTACATTATATTCTTGCCAAAGATGACTAAATGTCATTGGTCTCCACTAACCAGCTATTGATGCTACCTACATTCAGATGGGTTCAGTCTCCCCTAACCCCCAGCACTTGTCACTGTCCCACATATCAGTCCCCTCTAGATATACCTTGTAGACACACAGATCTTTGCATCTGACAACAACACGAATAATTAGAATCTTGGATACAATTTCATCCTTCAAGGACACCAAGCAGTCACCTAGGGGCAAGCTGATTATTTTGGAACCTATTTATTCTTGAAACGGTAGTTATTCACCTTGGCTGGGAGAAACACATATTCTGGTATCAGTTTCCTTTTCTTTGCTGCTGACTCTCATTCATCACCACCATCAGAAAGATGCACAAAGCATCTACTGATACCACACACTTGAAACAATTCAATGTGCACAACTGTTTGTTTCTGACAGTGTTTAGTATTCATCTGACTTCATAGTGATAGCCCCAGCAATCATGCTAAAGGAAGATTAGAAATCAAGATGGAAACATTGGATCATAAATACAGAAGTGTGGCAGGCAAAAGGGAGGAACTGCAAAGACAGGAAAAGAGGTGGGCCAGAGATGAGAAAAGATTTCTTAAAGCAGGATGGGATGTCAAGCTGCTCAGGCATCTCAGGTAGCAATGTGTTTCACTGTGGAGTTCTCACTGCACTATCCCCCCGCCCACCCTTTATCACTTCAACAATCTTTTGTAGCCCTTTAACTTTATACATTTTAAAAAGCACTCTGTTGAATATTGGGATGCTCAGATTCTTTTCCTTCTTTTGAGAACTTGAGTTGGGAGAGACATGAGAAAGAGAGAGTTAATTATTGGAAAGGGGCTGAGACTACACAGTCAGCCAGCAGGTTGAGCCTAGGCAGACATAGCAGGCCTGTGACTGATTTAAATTCACTCCAATAAATAAAAAAATGACTATTATTTATTAGACCAAAGGGAAGCAAATGGTTTGGAGAGAAGACTGAGGAAGAAAGGCAGTGTGGTGGTCCAGTGGGAGAGACATTTGTACAGTAGATGAGAAAGTCAGCAGTGGGAGGAGAGGCTCCCTAAAGCTGTTTTCTCCTTAACTCAGGCAATGTCCTAGTTGTTAGAGTAAATATTCATCTTCTCTGTGTAAACTAAATGAGTTGTTTTGCAAACAGAAGAACACATGAAACAGAAGCATGCCACATAAAGACTTGTGTTTTCTTTTTTAAAATAGTACTTAAATTTTTTGAGATTATAATATAATTACATCATTTCCCCTTCCCTTTCTCCCCCCAAACCCTTCCATGTACATGCTCTTGCTCTCTTTCAAATTGATGACCCTTTATTCTTTAATTATTGATATGTGTATGCAAATAAAACCTGTAATTGAATATATATGTAAAGTGTAAGGCCAAATAAACTTGTTTCCCTTTAAAGCTTTTGAATCTCAAGCAGTTTGCCACTGTGAAGGAAAACCTATATCTGAGAATTCTCAGCCTGTTCTTCATGTTATACTTCCCTATTAATTTTAGAACTCTAGTAATATAAATAAATATAAATATAAATACAACCTGGTCAGTCTGTTTACTATATAATGTCACTTGTATGTGTCTGTTTCCAGGACTTGATCCAAATCCAGTGATCTTACATCATCTTTGCACCTGCCTAGCCCTTCTTTATATACATCCTGATTAATTTTCTCTATTCAATCTTCAGTGGGATGAGGAAAGTCAAATATTTCTCAAGGTGTGATTCATAGAACCTGTTTTACTTTTTTATTTGTTTTTTGCATTATTGAAGTGATACTCATGAACTGATCATTTAGACCTTGCCAACTTGTCAGTTTTTTAAAACAATTTCATTATGTGTTTTCTTACAAAATATCTAATCAGTTCTCTTATTTTCTTAAGTATGGTCAAGTTTTTTTTGAACTCTATTATACTTGTTTAAAACAAGTAGAAACAACGGAACATAAGAGTTAGGGTTGATGCTAGCAGGTCATTGACAACTTGTTCCTCTTTGAGATCTTACAATAGAAGACTTTCAGCTCAGCACTGTGTCAGTCAAGGTTCAAACAGAGAAGGAGTGAAGTAGTATACTGTATTAACACATTTAGTCCAATTGTTTTAGAATATTGGTTTATAGGGGCTTGCTCCATAATTCTGAGATTAGTAAGGGCAGGGTATGTATCAAGAATGTGCTTAGAATTCTCAAATAAAGGTTTTCTATCACTATGACAAACTGCCTGAGACAAAAAAAAGAAAAAGAACTGTAAAGGAAAAAAAAGGTTCATTTACTGGTGAGATGGGTCATCATGGAAGGATGCTTGCTGCTGAGACTGATTCCTGTGGGAGGTGAGAGTGGACTACTTCAAGTCGTTTCTGACCATGCTTCTCATGCTATAGCTTTCCCATCCTCTCCTCACACGAAGAACAAACAAACGTCATTTTAAAGAAAAATAAATAAATTTACTCTATTTCCTCACTGTCTTCATGTCACGGTTCAGTTATCACCTTCTCATGGAAGTCCTATGGTTCATTCCATAATCAGCACCCTCTTGCTATTTCTTATCCTTATGGAATTTCTCTCCCCCCTGTTCTTTTCTCCTTTGCCCCATCACTGCCTTACACAGCAAGTATTTGATATTTATTTGTGCCTCACATTTGACAACAGAGCTCTGGACTGCAATGTTTACTGCAGTGCTTATAACACAACCTGGGATGCGACTGGAATTCAAAAACATTTGTTTAAAGGATGAAAGGTAAATAATGTCTACTTTAAACAACAAAACAAAGTTAAATAACAACAACAACAAGTCTCAATTCCCCTCCTTTGAGTATTATACAATGCTTTTGTGTTGAGGGAAAAAAAATCCTTTTCTATATCAAATTTGGCAAGGAATTCTGTCTGCTTTTTTCTTTCTTGAATGGAATTGTGCTGTCATTTCTCCCATGGCTATTCATCGAATGGTTGTTTCTATGGTTACCATGTTATTTCTAGTCAGAATCCTGTTGAGGAGAAACCTGAATTTGGTATCTCAGGAAGTCAAGATTCCCTTGACATCCTATAAAGATACCAATGAATTTCCACAAATCAGCTTTCTGCCTTATTCAGTAAATTAGTTGGGGAGATGGAATGGAAGACATCTTTGGGGTTCAACACCAGAGTTCTAAAAAAATGCACCACAGGAAATAAATGAAATGAGTTACCAATATGTTTGTGTGGCAGTGATGGTCCCAGTGAAATCAATCCAATTTGTCTTTGCCTGCCACTAACGGGTCCCTGGCATTCTAAGTGTCACCATGCCCTCATTGTTGTACCTAATCATTCTTTAGATTCTATATGCAGTTTGTCCTTTATTCTGGGAGCAGAAATACAATTTCAGATGAATATACTTCTACGGTCCAATTTGTTAGTTCACCCTAGAAAACAAATGAACTATGCCTAATGATTGCTATTCAATGAGAACATCAGGAACTGGCTGAGCTACAGCCCAGAGCAGCTAGCTGCATAACTTAGAAACATGCCTTACTCCATATGCTCGATTTCTACATGTCTAGAGAATCACTACGAAGAAAAAATTTTATTCCCACCTGTCTCATTTTCTTTTTGTGTCCCTTCTTTGATCCTGTCTGATATTTGTTCCATTTGTCTCTAAGCTGGCTTCTATTACTCATAATCTGCCCAGGGCAAACCATGTGCAGCTGTGTCTTTATTGAAGAATGAAAATATAGAAGTACTTCTGCAACTATGCAGGTAACTTCACATAATCTTTAGAATAAGGAATATTGCAGAATACAAATTAATTTGCATATGTATGCTGCAAAGAAGAGAAATCATTATGCACAATGCCACCTCTATAAGGTGCCTTATAGTTTTTGTCTTCTAGCTTCCTTTCATAGGCTAACTCTCTTGGCCTAAATGTTTTTCAGTACATATCAACTTTGAAATATTTAAGCTTTTCAGGGAGCTGGGCAGTGGTGGCACAAGCCTTTAATCTCAGCACTTAGGAGGCAAAGGCAGGCAGATTTATGTGAGTTCAAAACCAGCCTGGTCTACAAGAGCTAGTTCCAGGACCACCTCCAAAGCCACAGAGAAACCCTGCCTCAAAAACAAAAACAAAAACAAAAACAAAACAAACAAACAAACAAAAAAACCCAACCAACCCCTCCCCCCCAAAAGAGAAAAACAGGGAAAGCTGGCTAGTATAGTATATGAAATATTTAAGCTTTCATTCACCTACAGCCCCAAGATTTATTAAGCGTATGTTATACGCTGTGTACTCTGCTAGGAATGATAACTGGTTTCTCCTCTCTCTGTTTCTCCCAGGTCCCCCTCCCACCCCCAGCCTCTCCTCTCCTCCATATCCACATCTCCTCTCTTTCCCTTCAGAGAAGGCCAGACCTCCCAGGGATATCAACTGAGCTCAGCATACCACAATGCAGTAAGAGTAGGCACAAACCCTAATATGGACGAAGCAACCCAGGAGGAGAAAAAGGGTCCCAAGAGCAGACAAAAGGGTCAGAAACAACCCCCACTCCCACTGTTAGGAGTCCCACAAAACCCCAAGTGAACAACCACAGCATGTAGGCAGATGACCTAGTGCAGACCTGTCTGCAGGCTCCGTGATTGCCTCCTCAGTCTCTAGAGGCCCCTATGAGCTCTGCTTAGTTGATTCTGTGGTCTGTGTTCCCTGGTGTCCTCAGTCCCACTTGTTTCTACAATCCTTTCTCCCCATCTTCCAGAAGGTTCCTGGAGTGCCAACTAATGTTTGCCTGTGGGTCTCTACATCTGCTCCCATCAGCCGCCAGAGGAAGCCTCTCTGATGATGATTGGGCTAAACACTGATCAAATAGTGGAGTATCATTAGGAATCATTTGGTTCTTCCCTGTGTGCCCATGCCTGGAACACCTGGATGGCCAGAAACTGGAAGTTAGGTAGCCCATTGGTCTCTAGTTTTAAGAGAATACCCCAAAGCAACAGAAAAGATGATGTAACATCATATAATCAGGCAAGATGTTGTCAAACTGCTGAAACAAATAACAGCATAGACACAAAATAATTGCTGATCTATCTGGATAACTCTATCCCCCATTTCCTTGGTGAATAGCCTCATTGATTCTTCATCATTAAAGTTTTTCCTACACTACCTTTCCAATTTTAAAATAACCTAAAGCATGACATCAACCTTGTTTAAAATCTTCCTTCTTGCAGATGTATTTTATAACCAAACTGCTCTGTCTATATGGCATAGTTCATTAGCTTCCTGACTAAGATATATGACTTGTTCTGGGTCTGTCTCTGCACTAGGTACCTGATACTTCACAGATAATACATAAGAATTGGTGGTGACTGCTTGAGTGTTCATGGTCTACCTACTGGATTCTGAAACATGTCTTTCATTTTGTCTCCTAGGAAAAATGGCAAATACTTGTCAGAGTAATTGAGTAATTGAAAAAGTTATTTTGGCAGTTTCTAACCAACTTAGTTTTTAAAGGTTGAGTGAGAGTGAATAGAATCAGTGATAAGATGATGGGATTTCCTGGGTCTGGAGAGATAGGAAAATACAACATCTTATATAGGCCACAGGACAGTGCAGCTGTTTGTATCCTTATTCAATCAAATATGGATGAAAAGGAAATATTCATGTAATAATAATTCAGCTAATAAAATGGACTGAGTCATGCACAGTTGGCTCTGAGGCAGTTCTCTTCCTGAATGTGACTAGGGAGATACATTTGTGATTTCTCTCAGCCAAAAATGGCCCAGACTTCCAATTCCTATGAGGAACTCACCTAATTTATTTCTCTGATACTGAAATGAAAATGCTAAAGTACTACAAGGCTTATGGCTGAGTCCCCTGTGGCTTGGCACTCTGACAACAGGAACTGCACCAAGATCTCACAGGATAGTCTGAGCAAGGCTCAACATACACTCTGATTATCTCTTATAACATCAGAATGGCTCTGATGTTTACTTCACTGTGAGTTCTTGATTATTGATTAGAGTACTATATAAGGCTATAACCATAGATACTGAGATACTACCACAATATACACTTTAGCTTGTTTGGTAAAGATCTATTTTGAGTGTGTGTGTGTGTGTGTGTGTGTGTGTGTGTGTGTGTGTGTGTGTGTGTTTGTGTTTGTGTGTGTTTATGCTATATGTGTGTGTGTACCCATGGGGCTGTCAGATTCTCTGGAAATGGAGTTACTGGTGATTGTGAGCTGTGCACCATGCAGCTAGAAACTGAACTTGGTTCTCTGGAAGAGCAGCAAGTACTCTTAACCACTGAATGACCTTTCTAGAACCCTTATTTAAAGCATGAATGGACCTCAGAGACTCACATCTAGGGCTTGTTTCTTGGGAGGTTACAGAACCCTGAGAGGAAACTTACTGGAAGGAAATAAGTTAGGATATTGAGGACATATCCTTGAAGAGGGTATCATGACCCTAGAACTCCTCTTTCTTGCTCTTTTTGTTTATACTAGAATTCTTCCTTTTATTTCTTCCCCTATTTCTGGGTACCTGAGTGTACTTACAATCTAAACTCCATGATTCTTATATTTG